GTGGAGTTTCTCGTTTGTTATTCGCATTGCAACGATCAGTGGTAAACAAATTATTGGAAAACCGACAGAAAATGTTTCGACAATGGTGGCACTTCGGGTTAGATAAAAGGCAATGACTTCCAAGGGTGCTACTGGTTTGAGCTTGAGAAACTGGCTATTTCCTATTCTCTTTGTCAGCTGTGCATAAAATTATCTAGTATTACTACTAGACAGAAAAAGTTAAAGTCGTTAGTCTGCGTGTGTGCGCGCGTGGATTTTGTCTCGTGACCAGCCCTGAAGTTCACGTCTTATGACCAGTCCTGGTCTGGTCTGGTTTGCAACCGGCGCGGTACCGGTTGGCCAAATTCAGCCGTCATCGATTTCGGCCCAAACAAATGTAAATCAGACGGTAAACCAGCTAGACACATTAACCTCAGTAATGGATATAAGCGTAATAGCCCAGATTTGACGTCCACGGTACGAAACGAGGAGAGGGAGAATGGCATTCGTTTGGTAAACTAGAGCATTTCACATCGCAATTCGCGAACTCGGCAGACCAGTACACTCACTTTTCCAAACAAAGATTTGTATTGATCACGGATTTCCAAGCGCTGATCTATGGTACGGTGTCCCAGGATTTCAATCAAGCCAACCTCGTCAGTCCCTAGAAAGTGTTTGTTTGTGTCCGCAGACACGGAGGGAGAAGATGAAAGGATGAAAAAATAAAGAGATAGGCTAAGAACATTAAAAAACTGAGACATGCGACTGCAGATTCATGTTAGATAATGTTCGTACTGTTTGTTATTAGTGAGGTATCATGGTTGTCCGGGTTTCATGGCGTATCAAGTATTTTTTATTTGTCTAATCCGTATCAATTAGTATTCCGCTCCCTGTGAGGATCCCTCACTGTCGGCCATGTGAAATCTGCACTTTAGCCAACTTAGCAGCAGAGTTTAGCGTCCGATGAGTACTTCAAGCAAGAACATTTACACATTTTCGTATACATGTATCAGTACACAATCGAATGGCACAGAACGATTGTGCTAAATTAAATCAAGCATTCACTTCCACACAAATGAGATTGGGATATATATTATATGTTCCATTGAGCTGACCATCCTTCAGAGATCAACTTCACGCATATTCCTTACTTCTCCCAGTCAACCATATACTCGGAAGCACTAAACTCGAGTTTCGCCCTTATTATAACTCATCAGTAGTTCATATCTATCGTCCCATCTGGACCTTGAACTTCAGACCAATCGCATGGAAGGAATGTGTGTCAGCACTGTGCCAACCAGTCCATGCCAGAGCTGAACCGCATTGCCAATTCATGTTTGTTCAGGTGTCATATTCACGCTGATCATTCTTTGCAATTTTTGGCCCAACAAAAGCGAAGGGAGACAGATGACAATCTGTTAACTCCAATCTAAAGCCTCGCAGCAAATCAAGTATTCCATGCAGGTTACGGACTGACTGCCACAAACCCGCTAGGCTGGACTGATGAGTCATATTTGACTCAAAGTTACTTGTGAGTAGGGGTGGGGATGGATCCGGAGTTCAAAGCCCAGGTGGGACGGTGGATATGGACTACTGATGATCTATGATAAGAGCGAAACTCGAGGTTAGTGCTTCCGAGTATATGGTTGATTGGAAGAATCGAGGATTTGCGCGAAGCTGAAGTCTGTAGGACGGTCAGTTCAAATCAATATCTAATATCCCACATCACTACTCACAAGTAATTGTGACTTAAATGTGAAACATTCATTTTTGTTTTTCATTAATACTGTTTCGTGTGTGTGTGTGTGTGTGTGTGTGTGTGTGTGTGTGTGATTTCCAAAGGACAGATCATAACTATCTGGTACATCATCATGCACTGTTTCAATGTTCTAGTGAAACTCCTTCTTCCTTCATTGTTAACAGCGATTTTTAGCACAGTAGGCCAAACGCACACGCAGATACACAGGCGTCTCTTTAGCAATCCATGACATAATTTTTCAAGAGAACCAATAGTATCCGACTGCATGCATTCAATGCACAATTTTGATTGATCGTCTGTTCATCTGGCTGGTGATAGTATTTGCAAAGCTGCCTGCTACCTGCAGGCGAAGAAATCGATCAAATGCATTCAAACAGTTCATGTGACTTGGAAATATAAATTAATTATGAAATAAAATTATTCCCCACACAAAGAAAGTAAAACCCGGAGTGTGTTGTAAATCCGGGAGTACCATAAGTGGGGATAATCTCGTGAACGATTTATTCTATGTTAAATGATTTGGGCCATCCGGCTTGAACCGTATATCAAATCTGGGGCCTCATGACAATACAACCGAGTTTCCATTATTCAAAATAATAATATAGCTTTTTCCTTTTCTTCTTTAAGGAATAAACGATCTCACGAGGCGAAGCTGTAGACTATTTATGGCTACCTGGGGAAGTGCAGAAGTGGAGAAGAGAGGTGAATCTGTCGAGAATGAAAAATGCAAAGGCTAGATTACTGTTACAATGACGTTGACAACTGGATCAATGCTGCTGATCAGAGGCTGTAATCAAGCAGGTAGCAATGCAGAGACAAATAGACGAAAAGCCATATTGCTAAATCTCTTGATTTTGGTGGGAACAGCGTGAACAGCTACAATGTGTGAGAAATCGTAGCGATGACTATATACAGCCCGATACAGAGACCGACTAGAGTACCGAGGTGTTCAGGGAACAACACTGCCCCGTGGCAGCGGACGCACAAGAGCGAACCCAACACCACGACAAAAATAGCAGTGAATATACTGGTTTTCTCGAGGCAAACACACGCACAATGTGCCACTGCCAATATATGCATGTAAGATCCGATACCAATAAAACAAACAATATAACTGTTTTCAGGTTTGATCATTGTTTTCACAACCTTCGAGATCAGGTGACTTTGCCCCACGCCCGTGAACCCAACTTGCATCCAGTAATGTGAGTGTATAAATGGTCTACCTAGCCAGTTTGATCCTCAAAAGAAGCTCTAGAAAAACAAGCATTCTACCTGAGACATCAACGAAATAACCCTGCCGGCCAATGAGAAGCGAACTGTTCTTTCCTTTCAACAACTGGACAATGTCGACACATCAAAATGTCACGAAAATGGCAGGCGCTTCATTCAAGATTCAAGATCAACTATGGCTTTCAGTTACCTCTTTTGTGCTCCAACCTGCAGTGGAGTCGGCCGAGAGATGATGAAATCAACCTTAGAAACGTCAAAAATCACATTTCTAGTACGAAAGAGGAAACAGGGTCAATGGTCCACCGGAACGTCGCATAATAAAGTCTGGAATACGGCAGCAAAACCAAGCTTACAGTGGCAATTCAAGAAATATACTGTGCAAATCAATTTATCGCTGAGGGACTGAGAACTATTTCGAATTGAATATACGAAAATATAGACTCATATTACTACCCAGAAACTTCAGTTTTCATACATTTCTGGACATTAACAGTTGCCGCAACGCTTCGTCGAAAGGGGTCTGGGTGCTGCCCCTAAGAACTATGTAAGCTGTTCTGCAAATTGCTCCAGGGCACTGTCCCAGGCATGTCGGCGTAATTAAACATACGTTGTTCGATTTGAGCCAAGGCTATTCCCATGTTTGTTAGTAGTGTACGTTGGACCACATAGTGAGTACGCCTGTAAAACCTGAAATTCATGTTTGTAGCATAATGTCAAGGATATTCCCTAGGAATTTCCGTGGAGTTGGTGAAGGGACTGCATTCCAATACCCATGCAGGAAGACTGAAAGCATTGGGGTCGCACTCCACTCACGATCACTGACTTCAATTATCCAGTACTGCAGAATCTAGACCACCTGTCTTGTCCGCTCATATTATCACCAAACACTGACCTCGGAGGACACCGATTTACGGGAGTATTCCAAAAACATTAACTGAAATCCCACCATCCTTCCTATACCGTCAGAGAATGTGCTACGTAGAATTGCCTACGTTATCCGTGCTTCAGCTCCTTAGATAGAAGTGCACCAAACAGTATAATCAAGTGGATTTACTCATACCCGAGACTGTGAACAGTAGTTTGCATCCCTCTTAGTCCGGATAATCAATATCTGAGCACCCCATCTGGTACGAGGAAACCAACCTGTTGGAATCAGTTCCCATGGAAAAAGGTTCGATATCGTTAACTGAAGGACAAAAAAAGCAGTCTCACTATGTGATTTTAGTAAAAACGTTAATCTCCTCAATAGATGCACAGTTTCCTAATGGACCAGAGAAAATATAAATATATTATTCCTTGAACCGATTAGTTTTATTGCCGTAACCAGGGGACCTAATAGACCAAGATTCGGAAGTCAGACAACACACTTCTGAACGCCATTTCGTTCTGTATTTATTGGCTTCTGTTTCTCTGCCATGTGTGCGTGATATGGTTGCGCAGAAAAAAAAACAGAGACCAATTTGTATGCACCGTGCCGTGCCGTGCCGTGTGATGCGGCCTTCTCGCTTTGATCTGAGATAGATAGAGAGAGCACTTGTGCACAACATAGTTGGAACAAACAAACCACGCAACGTGTGGCTCTAAACGTGGGCACCTTGAGTTAACTACATATCATCCTCTGGTCCCGAATCAACCCACAGGGGTGGATTATGTGCGAGAGTTTCTGTCGAGAAATACACGGTGTACGTGTGTATATATGATACTGTTGCAACATATTGGTTAAGCATATATTGTCAGGTTACCGAGTGCATTTGTGAGACCACACGATCAGAATAATGCAAAACCGTGGTCACCGAGTTGTTAGCTTTCCATGGATGACCCATTACAAACGGGATTTACCCAGAACACACACCTGGGTTATTCTCATCATCATGATCAGTATAACTCCAATTATTCTGGGAGCATAGATAAAAAGCAGGTATGAGTGTTTAAATGGTTTTCTGGTTCCAAATTGTCCTCCTTGTATCTGTGTTCCAAGCCTGTCTGTGTCTTGTTCTACTCAATTCATTATGTGACCACCACGTGCGCATACCGACCCCACAGTCGTAGTATCGACCACCCCTGACCACAGAGTAGCGTGCAATCGGTAACAGAGGACTGTACATATTCAAATGCGTAGTCGGGGTCAGAATACCACGGCCGGAGTTATAACCCTTTCGGGATAAGTAACGATAGTGTGCATACGGATTACGTTGCGTTCCATCTGGAGCATGTGGATCACCCTGTTACTCCAATGAATTCGATCACCATCGGAACTGAAGTTGTTCTGCAAGGCTCGAAAAATCACAGAATTAGATACGGACCTCTGAAAAAAATGAATTCATAGGGCGGACATACGAATGACTACCAAACTTGATAATCACTGGTTTCAAGAAGTTGGACGACTTTGTGAGATTCTTGGACAATGAACGGTGGCTAAATTGGGAGTGAAACGGCAATCACACTTTTGCCGACTATTCGTTTCTTACATTACCTATTATGTCACAAATTCTGCAAAAGCAGTTCAATTTTTGTTTGAGGGAGGGGGTCGGCAATGTTTAACTTTTGAATTTACCCGCCTCTCTCCAAATCACCCTCGCTGTTTGGTAATCATGATCACCACTTTACCAAACATAGAGATTTCCAATGTTTTTTTTACTTACATACATACGTTTTCCCACTTTTCCACTGATTCTCTAGTTTCTCGGTGTTCCTCCTCAGAAGTGGTTACCAATTCATCCTTCGCCTGGCTTGAACTGCTTTGAGCTGTGGAAAACCTCTCGGAATTCAGTTCCCTCTGACCATCTTCTTTGCCAAGATGAAATCAAGACATCCTGTCCAAACTAAATGTCAGTATTCAGCAAGAAATTGTCACTAAAATGTATTTTTCTCGGCGGCTATCCCATTTGATCTTCTGTGGAAATCTGCGGCAAACCCATTATACTTTAAAAACCTCTGCAATCGAACGTTTCTATCTTCACCAATCCATATGCTGTCGTTGCTTCGCTTCAGTGTGTGCTACCAATCGCTGGTGTCCATATACAATATTCGATGGTTTCACAAAACACCGATCGATTCGTGCGCCCGACTTCCACAGTATTCATTTACCTGGAATGTATTACGACACAAATAGGTTTTGGAAAGGTTTTGTTTGGTTTGCATTGTCCAATACGCGAAGTTTACGTTTGCACTAAAACGTGGGTATATGCACTCATAGAAGTCCACATACTACCACACAGTAGGGGCATGAAATATCTGTACCAGATACCTCAGTTTTGCAATATAAGTTAACATCAGTTTGACCAAAGGAATGGAGTAAACAATCTGTAATTGTTATTCGCATCCTTGTCAGAGAATCCCTCAGCAGAAAATGGTGTTGTTTAGAGGCGAATCAACAAATTAAAATAGAAATATCCACATTCAAGTGCCATCGATATCATCATCCTCAACAACAACAAAAACATCATTAGAGTGAGAGGAAAATTGAAATATACGACGTCTTCTGCTTGTTGCATCGGAGTTTGGGGGTGGGGGGAGTAGAGTGAATAAAGTGTAATGTCCCAAGCAAGTTGGTTTCTGATACACGACCCACTGTCACAGAGGACTAGGTATTTGGAGATAAAAAGATCGTCATCCAATGGATCTCATTATCCATAGATGAAATCTATCTAAGAGAGCGGTCAAATTCGCTTTCGTTTACTTTAGTTTGCTAGCAGCCAAGAAGTGTTGTCGTCAGTCAGAAAACAAATCAATGTTTCTAGCTCGATTATAAATCATTATTAGTAATAACAAGTTTGGAATATGTCATCTGTGCTCTCTCTCATTCTCCTTTGGAGTGTTGTTTTCTCTTCTTGTTCGACTACACGAACGCTGACCGAGTGAACATGTAGTTTGCCTGTCATCGCGAGCGGGGAGTCCACGGATAACATTTATTTTGGTGACTTGTGTATTCAT